GATATTACATTTGTCTGTCGTATGGAAGCAGTAAGGAATATGCTGGAATCACAGAATCATCACATCTTCAAGTAGTAAATTCAGGTATGACATTTTTTTTTAAAGTCCAACTGTTCAGTTTTGAGTTTAGAATAGAAATAGATTTGCTCAAAAACCATGTACTAAACTGTCGACGGTGATAAGATTATAGACGAAATATACTATATATGCTCACAGAAAAGTCTAGAATTATAGGTGCCAAAATACACCCAAAAATTGGATTGAGTTTATGCATGAGTATAAATAATAATTCTGGTATTTGCCTATGTCCCACATATGCTGGCCTGTAAGCCATTCATAGATAAATCAGCCCTTGAATCTTTCACCAAAATACCACAAAATTTGGGCAAATGGCATATAAATAAATTGTGAATGTTAAAACATGCCAACACTTTGAGAGTTTGGCTTATCTGTGGGTAATATATTTTCACGGTATTTTTATTTAAAAAATTGAAGTCAGCTTATCCATAAATGGGCTTACATGTAATACATGGTAAATCATGTGTAGCACAGTATGTGAAACCAGTGACATGCATACTGTTCTATAGTCATAATTATTAGAATTATTCTAAAATCTTGCTTTCAGCAGGCAAAAAAAAATCCCTTTGTAACTTAGGGGTAAAACTACTTTTTTGTGGCTGAGGATGCATTTGTTAAATTCAACTTCTCAGGCCCAGCAGCCTTAGCAGATCAACATGTAAGACCTACCACCCTGGGAGGTTTGCAGAGATAGGCTTCTCATAGAAGCTGTTATGACAAGTCTTGTTTGCCCTCCAAAGATTCTATTCATTTAGCTCCACTGGTATTCTGGCTAATGTTTTTCAGAAGATAATTTCGCAACTGTAGAAATTAAATATTTAATTCAGGGGAGTTGAGCCACAGAATGGATAAATTATTTCTGATCTCTGCAATCACATACTTGCTTGGAGCCCACACTGGAATCTTCTTCAGCCAAGGAAAATATTTTGATGGGAAATACATACTTGCAAGATACGTTTCTGGATGTGGTTTTCCCCATTTCCTTTAGATAACCATATTAGCATAAGTGTTTGGATTCTTCTCAAAGAACAATTTTCTTTGTATATTTTATATACAACATTTTATATCATCACCATTAACTCCAGTATTAGGTCTTAGAGCATCAGGAGTTCTATCTTAAGCTTATTATATTGTCTACTAAGAGAGTCTCCCAAGTCATCTCTCATTATGCTGATGACTTCTTTGCATGTGAAGACTTTTTATTGCATTGCTGAGATCTGCATGATTATCACTAATCCTGCGTGATTATCACCAACCCCCATTTTCAGACTAACCTTTCTTTTATCATCCAATGACCTGATAAAGAAACCAGATTAGTTAGCTACTTTATATGTTATTTTCTTTCTGGATTTTGAACAACCACCATATCTTTTCAACTTTCTCCCTGAGAATATTACATCCTGCACAGTTAGTTTCTACAATTTTGAGAGATGTTAAGACCTGAATTTCATAAAGCGAATTCATCAACACATAGAAGCTATGCAATTACATCTCCGCTTTTTCTACATGCTTTCATACTTAGGAGTTTGTAGCTATAGAGGTTATATTAGCTACTGACCATTAGGAGGCACTACACAACAAGGTTTTTTTTCCTTATTGGGACAATTCAGTCACTGTATATAGAATATCTAAGTCTGAAAAGTACTAATAAAATTAAAAATGGTTGTGTAACGTCTTCTACTGGTTAGAAGTCAACATAATATCAGTAACTCTATATATTATTCCAGTTTATCCACATCAACTCTTATGTAGTAGTAATCATTATATTCCAGCTTTCCTTCTGTTTGTAAGGAAAAAAAATGTGGCAGCTTTTGGATGATGTACCACCAACCTTGAAAAAGCAAGAAAATTTCTATCAGTTCCAAATGGGGGAGAGGGAATTGCCAATTTTTATTTTCAACAAGTTCGGCAGTTGTGGATATGACAAAGAATAAATCTAAGACTAAACCACACTTTGTCACAGTAGATGAGGAAGAAAGAAAACTGAATTCATATGGAGACCTGCTTAAGGCCTGCTTAGCAATCCATCCACATTTTCTGTGTGACAAATGTACTTCTTTATTTCCTCATCTACCTTAAGAAAAACGAAAGACAGTTTTTCTTCCCATACTCATAAATATTTCTTTAAGTAGATTTTTTTTGCCTTTAGTTTCAGTTTGTGTTATAGGAAGTTAGGTCACATACAGAAGATCTCCCATTTGAAGACAAAGGTTCCTTTTGTTTAGAAACAGATGAGACCCACACACGTACTTGAGAGACCGCCTGCTGCCAATTACCTCCCACAGACCCATTAGATCTCACAGGGTTGGCCTCCTCCGGGTGCCATCTACAAGCCAATGCCACCTGGCTATTATCAGGGGGAGGGCCTTCTCTGTGGCAGCTCTGGCCCTCTGGAATGAACTCCCCGTAGGGATTCGGACCCTCACCTCTCTCCAGGCCTTCCGAAAAGCCGTCAAAACCTGGCTTTGCCGGCATGCCTGGGGGTGATGAGTTCCCTCCCCTCTCGACATGTATGGTTGTGCGACTGTTGCCTACTTTTATTATTTGTATTTTGTCTTTTATGTTCCCCCTTTTTTCCCCCTTTGAATTGTTCGCCGCCCTGAGTCCTCCCGGAGAAGGGCGGCATACAAATAATACAATACAATACAATACAATAGAATACGTTGAGAGAAGCAGAATGTAATTAAGCAAGAGTGGTTGTTTATAATTAATCTATAGGTGATATTTACTAGGCAATTGATTGATAGTAGTTTCACCCCATTCTGTGTATCAAACTCACTTCTACAAGATGCTCCTGCTTTTCAGGTATTATCTGGATCTTTAGACATGGGATATTCATGGACTTCTCTAATGGAATCTCCAGTTAATTGATATCTTTTTAACAGCAAATAATGGCCCTTGCTGCCAAGTCTAAACAAAAAGAAATGGCATCCAAGACTATGTGTTACTCCTTTCTTGAGCAGATCTGATACTATACATGGTCTTTCCTATTCATCACTTTCCAACTTACTTAACCAGCTCTCCAAAGGAGATATGGTATACATTCTGATATCACCACCATCTTGTGGCTTCAATCCTTTTCAACTATCAAGTCTTGCACAGATCAGACTTTAATATTTGGGAATAAGACTAAATATTCCATTTTGATGTCATCAAATAATACATGGTTTATGAACTAAATTCTTTTTTACAGGAGATGATGGGTATTCTGGTTGTAACCCAAACAATTTTGCATTTGGATGGAGCCAATTAGCCAATTTCACCATGTTTCTGATCTGTGTGGACCTTATCAATAGTCTTTTTACAATTATATCCTTATGTTCCAAGGAATGACCTTTCTATACAGGTAAATGTGGCAATTATCATATGGATTTTTACTCATTAGTTTTGCATCCTCATGTAAAATACTTTCTCACAGGATTTTCCAATTAAACTCCCTCGTTAGGAGAGCTGAACCAATGCAGAGGCTAACTTATATTTGTCATGTTTGATCCATAAATATTCAAATCTTTAGCCATGAGTGACTTACCTCTCTTCATATTTAAGGTTGTCTTCTTGGGGCTGGCCTTTACTTCTTTCCTATGTGTTCATAGAACTGATCATCCACAGAGACAATTATGGCCTGATACATTATATATTTTCAGGGTTGATTCTGATTTCTATTGTATTCAGCTATGATTTTCTGTCTTTTTACTATCTGCTGCTCTACACTGTTACAACATTCTTCATATTCAAGATCTTGGTACAATTTTGACTTTGTATTTTGGATCATTGTACCTCCATCCAAGAGTCTAGGACAATTTTCTGGGTCTACCAGCCTTGCCTGTTTCACCCAGGGACCCCCACCACAGCCAATCCACCTCAAGCATTCATCTTCACTTGACACCCCCCCCCCAGGAGCATCCCCCCCCCACTAGTCCCCCACCCTCTTGCTCAGGTTGATTTGCGGAGGGATGCTTGTCCCAGCCAATTGGCTGTGAGAGAGAATTAGCCAAGCATCCTGGCAGCTGATCCACGTGCCAAGGAGTGGGACTCTGTTTTTCCATTGCACGTGGTGCTGCTGGGTGGGGCAGGAAGTGCCCTCAGGCATTGGGGAGGTGGGGGACATGGCAGTTGCTGTACAGAGCAACTGGGCTGCTCCTCTCCACCAGGCAAGCCTTCCTGGGGGCAGCACAGCACCCTGCCATCTCCAAAAGGGAAGGCCAGAGTTCCACACTGTGGCTTCTGCCACTGCTGCCACCTGTTGCATTCTTCCTAGCTCTGCTCTGCACCCAGATCCTCTGTGATGCACGTCTTCCTTTTGGGGTTGGGAGGACACTGTGCTGCTCCTGGGAAAGCACCCCTGGCAGAGAGGAATGGTCTGGTTGCCTCACACAGCAACTGCCATGTCCCTCACCTCCCTGGCGCCCATGTCTACTGCTTACCCCACCTGGCACCACCACATCCAATGACAATATAGAGGCCCACCTCTTGGTGCATGGATTACCTGCCAGGATAACTGTCTAAGGTGGCGCAGTGGTTAAATGCAGCACTGCAGGCTACTTCATCTGACTGCAGTTCAGCAGTTCGGCTGTTCAAATCCCAACAGGCTCAAGGTTGACTCAGGCTTCCATCCTTCTGAGGTGGGTGAAATGAGGAGCCGGATTGTGGTTGGGGGCAATATGCTGACTCTCTGTAAACCACTTAGAGAGGCCTGAAAGGCCTATGAAGCGGTATATAAGTCTACTGCTATTGCTATTGCTATAATTATCCCTCACAGCCAAGTGGCTGGGGACAAGTGTCCCTCTGTGAATCACCCAGAATAAGGGGGTGGGGGACCAGTAGTGGGGACAACCCTACTAGAGGGCCAGCCTAGGATGAATGATTGTGGTGGATTGGCAGTAGCAGGGGGCCTGGAGTGATGTGAAAATGGCCAGGCAGCCTTGGTCAATTGTCCCATTCTGCCATCCGACAGCTCTATGTTTGCTGTCAAGATTGGAAGAAAATTCTGTTCAATTTCTGGGAAAAATATTGTCCACTAACAGTTAGCTCTGTCCCTAGTCCATGTATTGTCATTAAGATTTTCTAGAACTTGGTTGAATCCTTGACCTTCATCCAGAACTACAGTTCTTTCAGTGGTCACATCAGTATTTACATAAACCATTCAGTACCCTCTCTATAAGTACTTCTGGTGCCCTGTTTTTCTGAAAGGCTCCTAAGGCTATCTTGGAGAATTAGTATGAATGATACCCAGAAACATGAATTCAAGTGTGATTTCTCCCAAAAGTTATCTGTAGTGCTAGAAGAATCCAACATATTTTTGTATGGGCACATCACCATTTTTTGTAAATTAACAGATGACCATTTGAAAAACCAGTACTGTAATAGATAAAAATATATCCCTGGGGCCTGAGAAAAAAAAAAGCAAAAAGAAAGCACCTTATTGAAGGAATTTATCAGTCTTTGCCCACATGGAGCGTCTTTCAGAAGTAGGGTATTTTACCATAACTCCCAGAATTCCCAACCTGGATGGCCAATTGCCACTCTAGGTAAGAATTCTGGTGGAATACTAATATACCCAGGGAATCTTTACTAAACAATTAAAATATTTTATTCGTGAGGACAGGAAGCTTTGGATGAGAAAACTCTTCTGCTCTGCAGAATCTCCTAACTTGCTACATAGCAACTACTGAATTTGAGGTCTGGCAGCCACTCCGTATTATAAGCTTTTACTGCTAGGTTCACATATCACACTGTTTTAACCATCAAGTAAACAAAAGCACACTTATGGGGTAATATAATGTATAACTTCAAATCCCAGAATTCCCCGGTACATCTAACTTAAAATTCCTGAACTTCAGAAACACAATTTTATATTCACCACAATAGAAGAGGAAATTAAAGTTATATATCGGGATCATCAAAATGTTTATATGTATCACAAGTTCCATCTTGCTCTCTCAGAACATTTACTATTGTGCCTTCATCTGTGAAGGCAAGAGTTGAAAATGGACAACAATTAAAAGCATTGGGACAGATTGCCTGTAAAGGAGAACTGCTAATTTTCTGTAAGTTTTTATTATCTTTCGAAGACATGTGAAAACTTTTTGGCCATGGAAGAGACAGAGAGAAAAAGAAAAAGAGAGAGAGAATGAGAATGACTATGACCAAACTCATACCTTTGATTACGTCCTCCAGCAATAAATCCCTCTTAACTCTATATTGTAACACCCACATTTACCTTTCCGTTTCTGGGATTTGGAGAGAGATGGGCAGACTGGATGCTCAGATTCCTTGGGCTTATTTTCCAAGACTTTGTGGGGAGTGATGACAATAATTAGGAAGGAAGGAAGGAAGGAAGGAAGGAAGGAAGGAAGGAAGGAAGGAGAGAGAAATAAATTATCCCTCAGAAGATAAAGCTGCAATTTTCTCATACTGTGTCTATTTCTTTCCTTCTCCCCTTATGTTTATAGACCAATTGTTTCGGACTGCTTCTCTATCTGCAAATGGTTCACCGACAAATGCGCGATAGACATATGTGCGCCGACAAAACCGTACTGGACAAATGAGCGCCGTCAAAATCGCTAATTGATTTTTGACAATTGCGTGATAGACATATGTGCGCCGACAAAATTGCGTCCTCAACAAATTATAGAGAAACTATAACCCTAACCCTAACAGTAATTTTTTCAATTTTATTGTGCTTGTCATCGCGCTTTTGTCGTTGCGCTTTTGACGTCGTGTTTTAATCGGCACTATTTTGTCAGCGCGCATATGTCTATCGTGCAATTGTCAGGTGACACTGCAAATGAATCCACTTATCTACAGTACTTTCATTAGTAACTCTGAGCAGACTTCCAGAATAGTCTTGAATTTATCTGCAAATGGGAGCAGAATATTATTTTCTACCTACTGGAATAATTTCCTAAATTTTCACACAGAATACATCCCTCTTGCCTGATGAAATGATTAATTCTCTTGGTAACTATTTCACCCAGAATTAGTTCCTGAAATCTTCTGGCATTCCCCTGGTTAAGGAAGTGTACATTTCTGTAGGACATTCAACTTGGGATTATATATATAGTTTATTACAGAAGAATGAGAAAAAGCAGTCCTACTTGCAAATACTTCATCTGCATTACTTCAAGATAAATATGGGAGAACTACCTCTTGTTGCTCTTCAGTGTTACTGCTGATTAGTTTAATCATGCAATCAAAAAACACACCAGTATGTCATGACTTCTGGCATGAAGAAATGCTGGTTTATCTTACCAGTGCACTGTCTTAGCAGTCTTCCCTTGGAAGCTGGACCCTGCCCTTGGGAATCTGTAACGGACAATAAAGTAATACGAACCAGAAACACATTCTTGATGCTTTATGTGTGTGTGTGGGCATGTAGACTTGCATCACAACTCTATGCTTTCCTTTGTTTTTAATAAAACAAATTTCCAACACTGATGATTGCTCAGCCTAAGAGTCCATAGGCTCTCACTCACTTTCAGTTACATTTGCATAACCCCTGGTGGCATTCCCACACCAATAGAAGTGCAACCTCTATTCTTTCTGCTGATTAAAATCATCATTATGCAGTTAGATTTCATGAGAGTCTGAAACCCATAAAGTCTGCTTTAGAGCACCAGCAACCAGTGTTAAGTTTCAAACCTTTGCTCTGGAATAGTTAGAAAAAGTAAATATATGGACAGCGGGCCTGGGGGTGGCAAAAAGAAAAATGTCTTCTATAGATTCCACCTCTCCCATCTTGCAGCTCCTTCCTGCTGAGGAGAAAGCTGGTTTCCTAGGAGACTGGCAGCTCCCTGTAGCCAGGATAGGAAGGTACGTGTATGTGTGTGCTGCGAGGGGGAGACAGTTACAGATTTTCTCTGACAAAGGTGCTAAACGAAGGGAAATATATTCAGTACATACAGTATGCCCCTAGTGAGTGGGATCCATAGGTAACAGCAGGAAAAAAGCCCTTTAAATAGAAGTGTGTCACTACAGTAACAGCCTACCTGCCTAAAACTGCTTGGCCTCAGGAATCAACCCTCCTCTTTCCCTATTCATCACAATACCCTTTGAGGTATCATCCCAGGTTCAAGCAAATACCCCTTTTTTAATTTATTGCAAGTGATCATGTGATTTGGTTAAGGTTGGAAAGCAAGAACTGAAAATCACACACAAACACAGACAGGGATTATTTATTTTTCAGCAACAAGGAAAAATTCAGCATTCGATGCAACTATTACAGTTACATGAAATAATTTCAACTGTAGCCTAGGAAACTAGGCATTATTGTATTATTTGGACTTCTAAGGCCTCCCTCTGTAACCCACTTGAATGGTTCTTGGAGTATTTGTTTAAAAAACAAAATACTAGACTTTTTCTCTGCATCAAAGACAAAGCCAATGTAATTCCAAAAAATGCATTTGGATATTCCGATTGTGGACTCCAATAATGCAATAATACCAAGAAAGCCTTTTCTTCTTATCACTCTCCAGATGTAACTCCCATAATGCCCAGAAAACATAGCATATCATCTGAGAATTCTGGGATTTATGGTATTTTGAAAGTTATTTAGGAATACTGTCTTATAGCCAAGGAAACCTGCCCTCTTTCCCTTCCTGAACAGAAACCAGGCAGGCAAATATGCTAAATAGTCCAGTGTTTCTCAGCCTCATCAACTTTAAGATATGTGGACTTCAATTCCCAGAATTCCCCAGCCAGCACTTGAATTCTGAAAGTTGAAGTCCACAAATCTTAAGTTGCTGAGGTTGAGAAAGGAACAATAAATTATTTCTATCATGTTAATCAAACAGGGTAAGCAAGCACAGTCAGTGCAAAGCAGTCAATAGTGGTACTTGATTGATTAATAATAAACTTGTAAGAACAATTTTGGAATAGGAAGCATTTTCAAAATGTGCCTATCTCTGCACTGCAAAACTCAACCTGGCAAGTCTGGTTTTCCCATTGGTTTGGTCTCTTCTTTCCTAATCAGTTTTTGTCTGGCTTACCTCCTGATTTATACAAGCCAGTCATCTCCCTCACAGTATCATCTGAATCTTGAGCATCTTCTTCCTCCTCCTCCTCCTCTTCTTCTTCCCCTTCTTCAACATCTTCAGCATAGTCTTCATCCATCCAGGAACTGTTGGATTCCAGATGGCTCTGTGCGAGGCGTTGCACAGCTATCATTAAAGGGGAAAAAAAGATGGCAAAGCAGAAATATTATAAGGCGGAGGTACTCAGTTTGCTTTTTAGAGTGTAAACATTTTTTTAAAAGATGCTTTTAAGAAAAGGTCTAAAGGCATAGATAATAACAACAAACAAAAAAGCCAACTCACTCTTAAAGCAATAGTTGTATGATGTTTATGAAAATCCAAAAACCTTTAGGCAAATTTCAGCTAGCCTAAACTGCACCAGGACTATATTTGTCTTCATCCCCCACCCCACTTCTCCCAAGAAAGGTTTTGTGGTGAAAATAATCTGATGTACTTCACTGTCATTGTGTCCTTAGTACTGTCAGATTGGTGGGAGCAGTCTGGCACCTGCTGGCCACTTTAAGCTGGTGCAGGCATGCCCCTACCTCTCTGGTGCCTGGGCACTGTCTTCCAGGACTCTTTGAAACTGGGCAATGAGAAAATTCATTTCTTTTTTTCAAACTGTACTCTGGTCCCTCTGTTCTTCAGATCTCCAAATTGATTCCTGGCTCAGAAATGGGAACCAGACAAACAGCAGCTGAGCAATGGTAGTACACAGTGAAGCAGAGACACATGAAGTTGGTCTATTCTCTGCTGCTTCATGGTACAACGTTCCCTGATTCTATATGTTTTTTGTTCAGGCTGTTTTGGGGTTGGTGCTCTGCTAGAATAGTTCTAATATTTTTAACCACTGATAACAACTAACAGTGAAGTTCCTGTCAAAGCTCTTCAGATGCCTGAAATAATTCTCTTTGAAATTTAGCACACTCACAGGGAATCTAGGGCATCAGATGTCTCTATGAACATCCTTTACAATAGCTGTAGCAAACTAAAATAGAGCAGTTTCTACCAAGCCACATACAAGTTTTTATATAAAGACATAATGCAGAGTTAAATCTTGGATTTCTTTACGATAGCCCAAGAAAAAGGGACTTTTCTTAAGTTTGGCTATTATGTCCATCTGCACAGTGTTTTCATAACAGATTTCTCTGCTTCCAATCTTCCTTCTTCCCATCTTGCTAACTTCAACCCTGACAGCTTCTTCTGAACACACCCGCACAAAATATTTGTGCAAAACCAGAGCGAGTTTTGGCAGATGGTTCAACACACTAGTCTAGCCATCTGTTAAAACCCACTTTCTCTCCAAACTCAGCTATGCCCAACATTAAAGAGGGTGATTGGTAGATGCGTTTCTTCCAGCTGGCGATGTTTGGTGGGAAGGAAGGCAAACAAAGCTGGGGGAATCCACCTGCCTTACACTTAACTTGCCCTGTTGTGCTGAAATTAAGAGCAGCAATATTTGCTTGAGCAAATTCCTGTGGCAGAATAGGGATAGCCAAGTAGATTTTCCCAGTTTTGTTTTAGTGGGGTGGGGTGCGGTGAGCACATTTTGCATTATAATTGTTTTTCGTTAATTCAAATTTAAATGGAAGGCTCTTTTGCTGTGAGGAAGAGCTCTGAGTTCAAATCTCAACCCAGAAATTGAACCACACTGGGGAATTATGTCTCAATTGCCCTAACCCGTTTTTAGAGTGCTGTTTTGTGAATAAAAAAGGAGAAGACAAACATACAACTTGAACTCCTAGAGGAAAGATGGGTTATGTACATAATTTGAGAACATTAAAGAACAATTTAAAATTCTTTGCCAGTTTTTTTGCTAACAAAGTTGAAAATCTGAAGTCTATTAATCCTGAAGTCAATATTTGGGGGAAACAATCTCATTGCATAAAAACCTGGGTCATTCTTTCCCTCGGAATTTAAGCCTACCCTGATGATTTTGAAGCTGGTGCCAATGTATTCAGAACACCCACCATCACTACTACACTGGCAATCTTACAGCCGGAACTCAGAATTTGCAATGTCCAATTTGCCACAACTGCAACATCAAAGAGAATTGGTCTAATAGCTATGGTCAATCTACATAATTCTTCAAATTTCACTGCTAGTATTCCAGTAGAATTTTAAAATGAAAACATACAACTCTTCCAAAGTTTGCAATAAATGTTGCAATGTATTTATCGCAATATATTAAACTAATAGCCTATATATCGTTTAAAATCACTGAAAGAATATAAATACCCTTGATTGAAAGCAGCAGAGGGAGAATCTTCTGCCAGTTTGAACCATATTAAGAACAACAAGAAATTCAATGATGGACAAGAAATCCAGTTGCTAAGAACTCCTCTACTTTACATTTGTGGGACTAAATCCTGAACTACTTTGCTTGCTTTGATGGATCTGATTTGACAGCCTTCAGGAAATGGTGAAAGGATCCAGAGTAACAGCTCATTTTATCTTCTGGTTTTGACTCGACAATCTTATTGAAGTATTAAGTGTGAAAAGAATTTCTTTGTATGCTTAAATCTGTTTCAATGTTGGTCACAAGCAGAAGCAGCAGCAGCAGCAGCAGCAGCAGCAGCAAAATGGGATAGAAAATGAACCAGTTAATAATTAAGGACTCAAATTACGGTAGGTATTCTTGATCAGTGCCCGAGGGCATTCCCTCCGGATTTGCCCTCTGTCATTTATATCCAATTGCTTGTTTTGACAAGGCACTCCAGCAAGGCCATTATCTACAGAGAAAACTTCCAGATCTTGCAGCTCAAACTTTATCTTGGCTCCTTACCTTGCCCTTTTGATCTAAACATCAGGGCATTTTTTTACTCTTCATTTTAACTTGCCTGAATGATCTCGTAAGATCCAAAAATGATTAGTGATACATCCAGTGACCATATATCCTTTATTATACATGACAATCATTTATTTCAGAAACTTGTCTTTTAGATGTCCTTTTGTTTTTCAAAAACTCACTTTTCATTTTATTTGTCATCTAAACTTCACTATACAAATGGTTCAACTTTTAATGCCTTTCACATTCGTGTGGAAAATACGGAAATCAAATTGCCTTTTAAAAATAAATTTACACATTCTGTTGGGTTTTACATATTCTTAGAATATGCATGTAAAGTTTTTCTTGGTTTTGTTCCTGAATTTTTCTTTGTAAAGCAAAGTTATAAACAATCTTTTATCCTTATAAATCTCTTGCAAGTTTATCCTTTATTTTTCTGAGAAAATATGTTCAATGTAATTATAAGCTTGTCCAGAGAATGAGAGCATGTTCTGACATGACTTTGACTTGATAGGTGTAAATCCCCCCACATTTGTAACCCTTTCCCCACTTCTATTTTGCTTAGGGTGCCTTAGGGCTGACAACTCTTCAATAGAAAATTTTAGCAAAAGAGGACAAGACATAGGAGTTGCATAAAATAGGCATATCTTATTTTTTCCAATGATGTCCATTTAAAAATTATTTCTAAATAGGTAGCTCTTACTTAAAAACTGCAATTGAGATCTGCAATTCTATCACTTCATGATGTGATCATTAAGTGAAACATGACATGACTATGCCAGTGACAATTCCCCTATGGTCATTTAGTGAATTACTGTAGGTTGTTAAGTGTGGCATCATGTGACCAGAACTTTCCCCATTGACTTTGCTCGTTGGAAGCTTGCAAATAGCAGTCATGTCACTAGGGTTTTTGCAACTGTTTTAAATAGATGCCAGTTGCAAAGCTACCAAATGGTGAGGATACTGTGGCAGCCACAACTTTGAGGACCGGTCATAAACCTACTTTCAGCGCTGTCATAATTTTGAACAGTCACTGAGTGCAGCAGTCTGTAAGCAAGAATTATCTGTAGTTTAAATACAGATACAATTTGAACCATAAACTTAAATTCTGTTTCTTATCCTGGGAAAAACCATTTCTCCCCTAGATCCTTATCAAAAGTGCACATCCACAATTATCCCCCCCCCCTTAAACATTGTGCAATATTGTCATCCAATAATCTTAGATATTATAGTTACTAGTATAGTTATTTTTCTATATGTGAGTCGTCTTTTTAAGTAATTAGAATACCCTCTAAACTTTCATGATACTGTAAGTCTGATCAGCAGGATTTAAAACTTACCATAAGACTGCAGTTGCAGAAGCTCTACAGGAAACCAAATTAAATGTACACCTCCCAATAATAACACAAGATTTGGCAGACAAAATCTCAGTTGACAGGATGAAAGAAGCATGAACAAAGGTTTATTGAAAGACAAGAGATTAGGGGCTTTAGAAAATGAAGTGCTCAAGGTAGGGCAGGACTTTTCTCATACTACCCACACAACGGAGATCTACTGAAAAGTTTGCACAAATACTTTCTCTGTCCAGCAAACCTGGCAAGAATCTAGTCCTCAGTGAGAAATGGGTTTGAAGAAGAATTGCAAGGCAGAAAGACAAGGTCTTTTGTTATAAGAAGTTTTGGGGAATGGAGAAGAAGGCAGGTTCATTTTTTTAATGTGTTCTAGTTCCTTTGCAGACACACCTTGTTTTGGATTGGTTTACATAATCTTCTCCTTTATCAGTTGCGGTTTTATAGAATTCACTGTAGTATATCTACTCAGAGATTTCAAGACAGATTGCAGATGTTAGCTTTTCTATGATTATTCAGGATTGCGCTGACTATAAAAAGCAAAATGAGCTGCAATTTAGATGCCTGAGCTACACTGCAGAAGATGCCGCTGTTTTAGAGACCAAGAAGCAAATTTGCATAACAGTTAGAAGCCTGCAAAGTGAGAACCCCTGTGGTAGTTCAATTAACATGTAATTATTTAAAGTAATTGGGATATTTCTTTCTCACCTAACCTTGACCTCAGTAAAATCCTTCATTTTATTCATAATTTATTTCACTATAATTTTAAAGGGTCCCTGTTTTACAAAGATTGAGAACCTCTGCCCTAAGCCATATTAGTTAGCTGGTGTCAGATGGCATTAAACTGGGGCTATCAGGCTGGGCGGCATATTATGCATAACCTTTAGATGGCAGCAAAGAGATGCTAAAATTTGTCTGCTTTGCTGCCATTTTATGGCCATCCAGACTTTTCAGATCTGCATAAATAAAATAAGTACGGTAAATGCCACACTAGGTCAGGGTTTTTCAAA